TGATGATATGTTCCTGTTATCCCCCTGTTACTGTCAGGTAATGGTCTTGCCCCAGTTGTCAATTTAGTAAAACCCCTCCCATTGTTCCTGAACCTTCCCTGCCTATCACCCTCAGCCTGCCCCTAGCCCTTGTCCGTCATTGTTAATCCTGGCCTTTGTTCCAGCATTTTCCATGCCCTTCATCCCCTACTCGAGGCCCCATTGGCATTGTGGCCACCGTCCCACCCATGGTTTCCTCCCATTGGTCCCAAGTATTGTAAACCCCTCCTTCGTCTCCTCCCAGGTTATGTTCTGATTGGTTTTCGGTTTGTACCCTCCCCTCTTTTAATTTGGAAGCACGGAGATGTTCAGTGCTCAGTTGCTCTCCTTTCTCACTATCCCAGCCCTTTCCCCTGTCATTGCTCCCTTTATCCTTCAATAAAGCCTGTTCCTGGGAAGACAAAGAGACTCTGAGCCTCCTCCATCCCTTTACTGAAACCCACGACGCCTGGGATCTACAGAGCCCGAGCACAGGGAGCTCTGGAGGTTCGGCACGTAGACTGTCATTCCCGTGTCGTTCCCCACTCTTGGCGCTGCCATTAGCCAAGTTGTTCAGAGCTAGCCCGAAGCTTGGGAAAGCGTAGAGTGCAGCATCAAATGGTTACGGGGGCAAAGGTCAAAGGTCACGGGTCAAAGGTCACAGGGTCAAAGATCACAGGATCAAAGGTCACAGGGTCAAAGCTCACTGGGTCAAAGGTCACGTGGTCAAAGGTCAAGGGCCACGGGGTCAACGGCCACAGGTCGAAGGTCCAAGTCCGGGGGCAAGATTCGGGGAGCGATTTCTGGGACCTGCCCCCCTTTTCTTGTTGCAGCAGAGCTTCTTTTTGGGAGGGGGTCTAGACCTAGAAGGGCTTCCAATAAAGCAAGGTGCTGCTGTCCTGGGCAGTTGGAGTTGTTCTGTGCCTTCTTTGGGGGTGAGGAGCAAAGGCTGAGAGGGACGGGGTGGAGACTGGGAGGCTCCCATGTCCCTTGGGGCACGCCGAGGTCCACGCGAGAGGGAGGCACACGCTGCGCTGGAGGAGCAAGGTGAGCGGGGAATGGGGAGGGCTCGTGCTGGGTACCCTTCCCCAGAGGGGACCCCGAGCTGCCAGGAAATTCCCTGGGAGGGCTGGATGCAGAATCCAAAAACCTGTGGAGTTGTTCTGGTTTTTACAGTAGGTATTGGAAAGGAACAGGAATTGGTCTCTCTAAATTCATTTGGAAAGAAACACCCTCTCTGTGCACACCGTCGTTAGGGTTTTGCTATGTCAGGAATGGCTTAGGGTTAAGAAAGTGGGTTTTGTTTTTCCACCTCTTACTTCCCTGTAAAATGTGAGTGTATAAAACACATCTGTGCATCCCTGAGGTATTAAAATGCACCGAGAGAAATTTCTGTGCCTATGTTCCATAGAGACGAGTGCGTTCTGCACTTGGGGTTCACTAGGGCTTTATATTTTTGTCATTCTGACGTGTTAGCTGAATGAATTGGTAGAGTTTCAAAGAGAAAGAAACGCAAATTTCAAAAAGCAGAACATTAGAAAGAGAAATATATAAATATATACATGTAAAAATAAATACAGGAGAGCTAGGTAGATATATATATAGAGAGAGAGAGATAAAAAAGAAATAAATACAAGTAATCAAAATCTAGACAAGTAGATTAATATTCAGTATGAAAACGTTATGGATAGATGCTAATATAATAAATTTTAATACCTATTATGCAACATATCTATGTGTATAAATATAGAAGATCAATATGATAGAAATAGATATTAAAAATATTTAAATCAAGAGACTTTTTGTTTTTTATTTGGTTAGAGACTTAGAGGCAGGGCATTTAAATTATTAATATAGAAATGAAAATATAGAAATCTATAATAAAGAAATAAATATAGGGATATATATATATATTTAGACATAAAAAAGAAATAAACACAAGTAATCCAAATCTAGACAAGTAGATTAATATTCAACATGAAAAATATACAGGTAATATATTTTAACATCTGTTATGCATTATATCTCTGTGTATAAATATAGAAGATCAATATTATAGAAATAGATATTAAAAATATTTAAAACAAGGGACTTTGCTTTTTATTTGGTTAAAGGCATGGCATTTAAATGAATAATATAGAAATGAAAATATACACATCTATAATAAAGAAATGTATATAGGGTGATATATATAGAGAGAGTGAGCCGTAAAAAAGAAATAAATACAAGTAATCCAAATCTAGACAAGTAGATTAATATTCAGTATGAAAACTATATGCATAGATAGATAGATAGATAGATAGATGTATATAGCCATAAAAAAGAAATAAATATGAGTTATCTAAATCAAGACAAGCAAGTAAATTAATAATCAGTATGAAAAATATACGGAGAGACGTTAATATATTTTAATATTGATTATGCATTATATCTATGTGTATAAATATAGATCAATATGATAGAAATAAATATTAAATACATTTAAATGAAGGGGTGTTTTGTTTTTTATTTGGTTAGAGGCAGGGCTTGCTAAGTTTCGATGGGGGGTTTTTTGGGGCATTCCTTGTAGAAGAGTTTTTGGAAGGGGGTTGCACACGTTGTTTCTTGCCTCGCTTCTCTGCATGTGCAGGGGCGTGCCCTGCCCAGCCCCGGGCTGAGCTCTGCGGCAGTGCTGCCGCCTTGTGGGCACAGAGTGGTACTGCAGCTGTGCTCCGAGCCGGGCGGGGCTGAGCTGAGCCGAGCCAAGCCGAGACACCCCACCCCCCCCGCAGGAGCCGGCCAGGCAGGACCCCGGCAGAGGCATTGACTCCAATGCCTGCCGCTGCAGGCGCGGCCACCGCCCAGCTATGGAGCCGCTGAGCCCCGCCGCCATCGTCCTCGCCCCGGGAAAGGCGGCGGAAAATCAAGCGGAGTGCTCGGAGTCGGTCGGCATCGTCAGGTTTTTCGTTCAGCCAAGTAAGTTAGACAGACGCGCTGACAGCAGCGGGGGCCTCAATAGTGCCACAACAAAGATGGGCGCTTGGCCGGAAGCGGCTTCAGCCACAACAAAGATGGCGGCGAGGAAGGGCGGAAGTCACGCGACGCCACGTACAAGATGGCTGCCGAGTCGGCTGGCTTGACCTTCTAAGGATGGCGGCCAAAAAGGCGGGAAAATGCAAGGACCCAGGGCGAAGGGTGTCTCGCTCGACTGCCTGACAAACACCCCGATGCCAACGCCACTCCGGTGCAATTTTCCGCGGCTTTTCCAGCCGCGCGGACACGGGCTGTGTGCTCAGCGGC